CTGGAGGTCCTGGTACATAAAATGAAATGTGTCCACAGTGGATACAGAGTGAGGACCATAAAATCATTGTTCTACTGGAGTCCCCATGCTGTTCTCTGATGTCTCTTTTAAAATAACGAATTTCCAAGTTGATGACAATAAAAAAGATCATTAGAAAGAGTGGTGGAAACGCATCTTTACATCCTATTGAACATTTCCGCAGTGCACAGCAGTCTCCTAAAATACTGTGCTGCATCTGTATTTAATGAATAAGAGTCTATTATTGAAGGAACAACTGAAAACACATGGGATTTGATGAATCAAGTCACATGGTGATAATGTGTGTGTCCTTGAGAAGGCAGACTGTGGTCTACATTTTAGTGGATATACCTTTGGCAAAAAAAAAAAAAGAAAAAACTTTCATGTGTTTCTGACCATTATGCTCCTTTAACCTTAAGGATGCAATTTATGATTTAGTTTTACTTCAAATCCTCCAGAAGATTATTGGCAGTAAGAAAAGGGCAGCATCTGAGTAACACTGAGGAGCTAAAATGCTTATTTTGTAATTACTCCTGTGAGGGATGCACGTTGCTCACTTGATAACGGAAATTCAAATGTCACAGGTGGGAAAATTAGAATATAGCAAATTATATGAACTATTATGTCTGCAGTTTTTGTCAAGCAAGTAATTCATGTCAACAAGAAAACAGACACCGCAAGAAATCATATGCAAATCCAAGGGGAGCGTGACCTCTGCCCTCTCTCTTATAAATACAAGGCAGTGCCACACCTGAATTATTTTCGATTGTAAAACTCTTTGGGACTGTGGAAGCTATAGCTCTCCCCTCAGGCAGGGTAAAGGTATCTGAAGAATGCAGAGTTGTGTTCATGAAGAAGATGGCATTATTGTGTCTTCCCCTGTGCCTGGCGAGAGCTCCCCAGGGTGTGTCTTAGATGTCAGACATGGGTCTGTGGGGTGAGCGTAGGCACTTGTGACAGACAGGCACGGATCATCCATGTACTCACATGCCCTGTCCCAGGAGCAGCTGCAGGAGTCAGCCCTGGACTGAAGAGCCCACATTGTCCCTCTGTGTCACCTGCACTGCATCTGGCCACTCCATCACAACCAGTTCTTAGTACTGGACTTGGATCTCCCAGCTCTCAGGGAGGGGCCGCAATGGATAGACTGCATTGGTAGGGGCTGTGGGAATCCACTTGTCTTGTGGGTAAATGGCAGCATCCCCTGATTTTATAAGGCAGAATAATGCTGTGTTGTGTACACGTACCACATAGTCTTTCTCCATTTGTCCATTGACAGACACTTAGTTTCCATGTCTTGGCTGTTGTGAATAGTTTTGCAATAGGCCTAGGAGTGCAGGTATCTTCACGAGGCGGTAATTTCACCTCCTCTGGGCATGTTTTCATAAGCTGGATCACTGGTCACATGGTATTTCTGTTTTAATTTATTAAGGGGGCTCATACTGTTTTGCATAATGGTCAGAATATGGAATGTCACAGCCACTGTGAGCAACAGTTTTAGTTTTGAGGTACAATCTACAAAAATATAATGTTTGATTGTGGTTCTTCACATAAGGCTCTAATAACTCTAATGAAAGTCCATAAATTTTTCCACATTGGGCAAGGATAAGTTTGCCCCTAATTATCTTTGAGGGAGAAGATTGTCAGAATGTGAGATGGAGGCTGTCGGCAGGATTCAGGATGATTCAGTAATAAATAGTAATGACAGAGGAAAATGGAGACAGGAAGAGAAAGAGAGAGAGAATGAATCTGTAACAGTCAAATCCGCTGAACACCAGCGTGGGGTTTTCAGTCACAGACACATCTACATGAGCGAGGAACCATGAAGTCAAGTGAGGCGCGGAGAACATGTTCAGTTTAAATCAACGTGTTCTCAGAGACACCCATTGCCCGTCACACGGGTGAGAAATCTTTCAAACCAGTGAAGTGGGAACTCACAGTGAGTCATGAAGTCACCATGTTTTCATAAACTTTCATGCACATGTCAAGGACTTCTACAGCTCACTCATGTACAAATGTGCAAGATGCGTTTGTGCATTTGTGGATGTCTAGAGAAAAACAGTGTTTTGAGAAAATGTTTTCAAGTTACAGAGATCGGCTTAAGTTGGAGATCTCAGAGGAGAGTGTCTGTGAGTGAATACTGGTCTGTTGCTTAAACAGGTCAGAATTCCCTCTGTTGGAGTAGCCTTCCAGTTACATAGATTTCTTTATCTCTTCTTGAGTTGTAAAACATGAACCCAAGGATTCACTTACTGGAATCTGACTGCTGTGTTGATAGAATTTCTGATGAGTTTCTTCCAGTGCTCTGAGAATAGCTTTCCTATTTCTTTACTCCAGGAAATGAATTTCCACAAGCTCTCAGGGCACCACGTTTCAGGTGCTTTAAAGAGACCGACTTCCTGGGGGCAGGCGGCTTTCTTCTAACCGTGAGCTCACTTCTTCCACACACCATTCAGGTCGTAGCTCTATTATCAGGAATTGTGAAGATGTTCTTGTTTCTAAAACAGTTAATTCCTCTACTGAGAAACTACAAGTAGAAGGTGCTGGATCTTTCTTTGAACGTGTCCCAAATAAATCGGTTTCCTAGTTCACATGCTCACACTTCAAATAAAGGCAGGTGCTCTCCCAAAGGTAAGGATAGTGGTTTTATTTTTGTATTTAGAGATAAAACTCCAGCTACCACAATCATTTTAAAATATAATGCATTATCCAGAGTCCTTATCGAGCTTGCCTCTTGCTTGTGGGCTATTCTGTTTGGTTAACACTTCTTTCAAAATATATTCAACATGTGGCTTGGCAGTTCATATATGGACTAATCAGTGCAAATTAAAATGAAATTTTTCTTTATTTGTGACTCTACTGTTATTAATAAAATCCAGGTTTTCTCTATTAATAAAAAAAGAATTATGAAGATGTTACAGTCAAATGCACTGAAAATCCTTCCCGTTCAATCAAATGTTGATTGGCACAGACATGAATTGGCCACTCTAGGATATGTGTCCTATGTTATGGGCTCAACCTATCAGTGGACTGAGAATCTTCCATCATCTGCAGCCCCACGCAGCTCCAGAGCAACCCTTTAGGATACTTGGTGGTGAAGCTGTTTCAGGGAAGAAATGTCTGCTCAGGTGAAACAGTGAGGCTGCTCTGAGCCACAGTAAACAGTGAACTGACCCAGGTTTCTCTGAGTTCAGTGCGATGATTACACTCAGCTGCTCCGGTGTGTTTAAGTGAGCCTGTGACAATTTAGATGAGCCTGGCTGTGTGGTTTCTTACATGTAAATCTGAACTGCATAAACACAGAGGGCTTGTCAGACCTAGTGTGAGGGTGTGAAATCCTGGAGACCCCACACTCCACACTCTTAATCTTTTCTGCTCCAGGAACCTCCAGGTACTTTGGATAAGAATTGAGATAATTTCATAGGAAAGTCATTAAGACACCTAAACTCTGAGAAACACACAGATAAACTTCTCCAGATAGACCATCTAGGGGAAGGACATTTCTAGCACCTTGTCTATGTGGGGGAAGCTCGTCCAACTCCATTACAGACCCCTCCCAGCAGCCTTCCTTTATCATGAAAATGGGTCAAATTAGCCAGTAGGGTAAGAAACCTATAATGTTGCAGCCAGAAAAGGGAAAGCATCAGTTCAGGCTCTGGAGACTCTGTGTATAGGTCACATTCCAGAGAAAGAAGTCCACTAAATTATTAACATTCAATTGTAACAACATATAATACTACCAGGATGCACAAATAGCCTTTCACCAGTATGGTTATTCTGGATTAAAGATGAAAGCGGGCAATGCACAGACTCTATCTGAGGAGGAAAACAGGGAAAATGAAAGAGAATGGCAGAGAACAACAGAAGGTCAGAAGAGGCATCTGAAGCCTCTGACATCAACTCTGTAAAGACAAGGTCTTGGCCACTCCCTCTTGACCGCAGTTTATCTTATCGCGGGGCACTTGCAGGGTTCCTAGCTGGGGAAAAAATAAAAAACTGCATGCACTTCCCGAGTCTCCACTTGTATCCTGTTTACACTGGATTTCTAGGAGATAAAAAGTCATAAACCTAGACCCAGTGTCAGTGCGGGAGGCACTTTCCACAGGCTGGACACTGTGAAGAAGGGAAATGTGTGCTGTTGGAAGAGAAGATGCAGAGACGGCTGTAATCTGAATGCACCTGCACCTGCGGGCACTCTCAGATGCAACGTTCAACTACGAGAACCTAATGAAGAAACGGGGGCCTCCCAAAGTCCTGCACGTTCCGGTCTTCACTGCGTGTCCACTGATCAGGGCATCTGCAGCTTCAGAGAGGGGGCTGCCTCCTCTGTCAGAGAATCTTCTCTTTGGGTCTTTCTGCAGAGTTCAATAGGTTTGGTTAGGCTAATCAGTTGTTTCAACAGAAGTGTTGGCAGCAGATACTGTCGCTGAGACAGTTTTCTAAACCAGGACACAGCCACTCTATGCTGGACTAAAGACTCGGGAGGAAAACGCTTTGTGAGCCTGACAGGATCCTCCTTGCAAGGCAAGCGCTGGGCTGGAGGGGGCGCTCGGGAGCCACGCAGCACAGGGTCCCGCCCAGAGCGGGAAGCTGGAGGGAGGTTTCCTCTCAGGGCCTTGGTTTTCTTTACTCAGAAAAAAAAAAAAAAAATCTAAAATAACTGCTACAAGTTGCTGATGTGACGTTAAATATCCTGCTACAGTGGAACAATTCATATAACTTGGGGCATTGAGAACTATTTTTTAAAGTGAGCTTCTAGGATTGTAAATATCTTAGTAGCAAGAATATGATGAATGGGATGGTTTTATTCAATGGGTGCAGAATTGTGAGAGTCACTATATTCCTATGAATAAGAAATTCACATTTCACTGTTAAGTCATGTTTCCTGCATTGTGAGTGACAGGGCAGTGGTGGATCTGCGAGTGTGGCAGGTGCACAGACCTGGTGAGTCAGAAATCAATATGGAAAGGTGAGGATCTATGGACATGCACTGATGGTATGTAAATACTTCGTGAAATTCTAATAAATGGAGTTGTAAATAAAACCCACAATTATCCGTAACTCAGATTCCTTGGAAGTTATTTTGGGATCATGAGTTCACAAAGAACTTTAAACTCCTATTTCAACTTCTGGCTCCCAGTGTCTGTGATAGAAGAAAGTCATCTCCAATTATGATAACAGGGCCAGGTTGTTTTTATTGAAGAGCCTGAGCAATGAAGATTCCAGGCAGGTGATGGAGACACTGTCTCAGGAGTGCAGAGCAGATCTCAGAGGAACCTGGAGGACACGAGGAACCTGGGGGACACTCATGTGGAACATCAGCAGTCAGTTTCTCAGAGTTGCCAGTGAGCTGTGCTGGTTCCTGTGGGAACCACGATGGGGCCAAGGCACCTGCTCAGCATCATGGACATTGATGGCCCAGAAATGATCTAGGTGGCCTTTATGCTAATCACATATGGGTTCAGAGTGAGGGGCATCATCTGTGGGGACTTGTTCTTCAGTGAAACGTTGCTCTGTGCAAATAGAAATGGAGCAGGACGTGGATTTTCTTAAGCAGGATACAGGCTTGGACCATCAGCATCCCACTCCTGTGTGGTGGATGTGTCGTGTATCTTCTTTCTCACTCTCAGTCAGGCTTTGAGCTATAAAATAATCTGTCTCATGAATATGCAAATAATGTGAGGTCTACTGAAGTACATATGGGTATGTCTGGGCCCCGAGAGCATCACCAGCAACCACATCCCTCCTCTAGAGCAGCCCCTGAGTGTAAATCTCTTCACCATGGACTGGACCTGGAGAATCTTCTGCTTGCTGGCAGCAGCTGCAGGTAAAGGGCCACCTAGTTGCATGGCTGAGGATGAAATTTTTCACAGCTGAGAGGACTTTGATTCTCTGTCTTCTCTCCACAGGTGCCCACTCCCAGGTGCAGCTGGTGCAGTCTGGGGCTGAGGTGAAGAAGCCTGGGGCCTCCGTGAAGGTCTCCTGCAAGGCTTCCGGATACACCTTCACCGACTACTACATGCAGTGGGTGCGACAGGCCCCTGGACAAGGGCTTGAGTGGATGGGATGGATCAACCCTAGTAGTGGTAGCACAAACTATGCACAGAAGTTCCAGGGAAGAGTCACCATGACCAGGGACACGTCCACAAGCACAGCCTACATGGAGCTGAGCAGCCTGAGATCTGAGGACACGGCTGTGTATTACTGTGCGAGAGACACAGTGTGAAAACCACATCCTGAGAGTGTCAGAAACCCCAGGGAGGAGGCAGATGTGCTGGGGCTGAGGCAGTGAAAGGGATTATTAGATTGAAGACTTTCCTAGAAAGAGAGGTCCATTCATGAAGAAAGGGGACCATAAAATTTGTATGCACTGTAATTACTTGGGAAACTCTCCATACAACACTTATTCTGTAGGCAAAATTCAGGGAGCAGAAAATAAATTAGATTAATAAAACATAGAAGAATTCCTCTGAAGACATTAGTGTGAACATCAGTTTTTGAATTGGTATTTTTAATATTTTGGAACAGAGCTGCTAGATCACATTTTAATTCTACTTTTATCTTCATTGTATGAAGTGTCCAAATATTTCATCATATTTTGTGCAGTTCTGATTTTGGATTTACACCAGAAATGCACGAGAGACCGAGTTCTTCCACATCCTCATTGCCACTTGGCATCATGAGAACTGTGGATTTAAACCACTCTAATAAAATAGTACTGATATCTCCTTCTTGTTTAAATGCACCTGTCCCGAATTAACATTTTATATTTAAATATGTTTAGGCAATTTGGATGAAGTGTCTGTTTTGATATTTGGCTCATTTTGTTGCATTGTTTTCTTTTGATCAGTTATAAGTTTCCTTACCTACTAATTATAAAAGTCATTTACCAAGTTAACCAAAAGTCCTTTAATAAATATGTGACTTGCAAGTCTATTCTCCAAGTCTTCACTTGTCTTTTCATTCCCTTATCCATGTGGCGGAAAGATATTTATATACGTGTGTGTGTGTGTGTGAGCGTGTGAGTGTAAACTTGAATGAAATTTGTTTTCTCAGAGATCATCTAAAAATTCATTACGATATTCACTGATACAGGATTTTTTCTTTAATCTCACACCACAATCACAGCATAACTGTTTATGTTTCACCTACTGGGTGGGAGGATTATTAAGCTATTTGGAATTCTGCGTGGGAGTTGTCTTTTTTCTAATTTCCTTCATTAATGTATTGTTAGTATTGGTTCATGGAGGTTAACTTGATGATCTGGAGAAGACACAATGCTGCATTATTGATTTTATTTCTCCAATCACCACAGGCTTTTAGCTTCAATCAGCCCTTTCAGTTTGGGTTCTGTGAGGCACACCCCATTTTTAGGTTCTCTCAGCCCTTTCAGTTTGGGTTCTGTGAGGCACACCCCATTTTTAGGTTCTGTCAGCCCTTTCAGTTTGGGTTCTGTGAGGCACACCCCATTTTTAGGTTCTCTCAGTCCTTTCAGTTTGGGTTCTGTGAAGCACACCCCATTTTTAGGTTCTGTCAGCCCTTTCAGTTTGGGTTCTGTGAGGTGCACCCCATTTTTAGGTTCTCTCAGCTCTTTCAGTTTGGGTTCCGTGAGGCACACCCCATTTTTAGGTTCTGTCAGCCCTTTCAGTTTGGGTTCTGTGAGGCACACCCCACTTTTAGGTTCTCTCAGCCCTTTCAATTTGGGTTCTGTGAGGCACACCCCACTTTTAGGTTCTCTCAGCCCTTTCAGTTTGGGTTCTGTGAGGCACACCCCATTTTTAGGTTCTCTCAGCCCTTTCAGTTTGGGTTCTGTGAAGCACACCCCACTTTTAGGTTCTCTCAGCCCTTTCAGTTTGGGTTCTGTGAGGCACACCCCATTTTTAGGTTCTGTCAGCCCTTTCAGTTTGGGTTCTGTGAGGCACACCCCACTTTTAGGTTCTCTCAGCCCTTTCAGTTTGGGTTCTGTGAGGCACACCCCATTTTTAGGTTCTCTCAGCCCTTTCAGTTTGGGTTCTGTGAAGCACACCCCACTTTTAGGTTCTCTCAGCCCTTTCAATTTGGGTTCTGTGAGGCACACCCCATTTTTAGGTTCTCTCAGCCCTTTCAGTTTGGGTTCTGTGAAGCACACCCCACTTTTAGGTTCTCTCAGCCCTTTCAATTTGGGTTCTGTGAGGCACACCCCACTTTTAGGTTCTCTCAGCCCTTTCAGTTTGGGTTCTGTGAGGCACACCCCATTTTTAGGTTCTCTCAGCCCTTTCAGTTTGGGTTCTGTGAAGCACACCCCACTTTTAGGTTCTCTCAGCCCTTTCAGTTTGGGTTCTGTGAGGCACACCCCACTTTTAGGTTCTCTCAGCCCTTTCAGTTTGGGTTCTGTGAGGCACACCCCATTTTTAGGTTCTGTCAGCCCTTTCAGTTTGGGTTCTGTGAGGCACACCCCATTTTTAGGTTCTCTCAGCCCTTTCAGTTTGGGTTCTGTGAAGCACACCCCATTCTTTGTTTTTGAACAAGTCCCTATTTCCCGCTTTATGGGAAATTCTAAGCTCATTTTCTCTATTGTGTTTTCCATACATAGAATCAGTTGTTTCTCCAAGTATTTCTGGTTGCTGGTGTTAAATGATTACATAAAATACAAAATTGTGTTATTGGGTTTGTGAGTTGTTAATGAGATGCCAGTGCTCCTAGGATCTCTAACCTAACTGGCCTAGAAAACATGCATGTATGTATCAACCCATGTTTGCAGGACCATCTAAACTATTTATGGACCTTGTCTTCTGTACCTTTATTACATAAACCTTTAGAAAACCCTGGTGCTACAGTCCACTATGCTTCGTGGCTGCCTATTCCTGTGCGTGTTTCTGGACATTCTATATCAGGCTTCACTTCCATTATGTTTTAATGTCATCGCTAAAGACAGCCAAGATATTTTAAAAAACAACCAGGCACACGGCCATTTGACCAAGTGAGCTCTGCTTCGTTATCCTCGCCGTCTTCTGCCCTAACACACACAGAATCTAACAGCACAATTGTCACTGAAGCTTTCCTTGGAGTAGCTCACGGACTTAGAGTCACTGGTGCTCCGCCCTCCTGTCAGTGGCCGCAGATTCTATTGACTTATGTGGAAACCTCCTAAAGAGACAAGTTTCTTTGAACACAATAAAAATTTAAGGTAGGAATAAATTATTTGCCAGCAATTCATTGAAAGTAATTGCTAAGAAGAAGTTAGGAAAGTCTGTTGGCAGTCATTTCTTCAGGGTGTACGGCAGTGTGGGATGGAGAGATGAAGTGGAAGATGCACTTGGGTTAGTTAAACAGAATAGCCGTCAATGTTAATCTGTTTGCCACTTAACTGAATGCAAAAGCCTGGAGTTGTTAGAAAACATATATATACATATATACACAATGCCCCCCCGTCCCACACATCACCTTCAGTGTAATTAATCTAAATTGAAGATGAGTGTGGCAATGCCGACTCCATCTAGGGAGAAGAACATAGAGAACTGCAAAGACAATGGGAGAAAGACTTCAAGGACAGCAGAGCAATTGGAAGCCTGTGACAGCAATAACTTGATGACCAGGGTCATGACTCAACCCTTGCTGGACAGAAAGTCACTTTCCTTAGGGCAACCACAATATTCGGGTGAGGATAGGCAAACATGATGAATGTGCACGTGCTACGTCTCCAGTTGTATACTGTTTTCTTTCTGTTTGCAGAAGGAAGTCATATGCTCATGTCTAGTATTGGTGTAGGGGGTGCTCCCCATTTGAAAGACACTAGACAAAAGGGCAAGTCAGAGCCCCATTATAGTAAAAATCAACTAGCTCTGTGTGAGTGTGAGTGTGTGTTTGTGTATGTGTGTGTGTTGTGGAAACAGAAGCTGTGGAGTGGGCATTGATCCATAGCACATACACCTACATCTATTCTTAGATGTCACAGTCAACTGCAGGAGCCTCAAGCAGATAAAGGATCCCCCAAAACCCTTGAAAATTTTGTGCTCATTATGTGTCCACTGATTCAATGCATCCTGAGATCCAGGGAAGGGGCTCCCCAATTCCTTAATAAAATCCTTGTTTGGGGTCTCCCTGCAGAATTCACTGGGTCTCCTAAGGTCAATGTTTTCAAAACACGGTGTCAGTAACATATGGCATCACTGAAGGAGCATTTTAAACTAGGGCATGGCCGCTCCCTAGAGCCCTGGCGACACCGAGAGATGAATTCGCTGTGAGCCCAGATGGAAACCTCCATGCAATGCAGAGGCAGTGCTGCAGGGGGCGCCCGGGACCCACCCAGCACAGGCTCCAGCCCCAGAGCTGGTGCGCAGGGGATTTCTCACAGGGACTGAGTGTTACTTTCTCGAAAACCAAAAAATTGTAAAAGGTAAAAATGAGAATTTTACAAAGACGTATTATGTATATTTAAATACCCTAATACATTTAGTGATAAATAAATCAACAACTCAGAGACAATCACATTTAAAAGGCAAAACTGTTACTGCATTGAGATATTTTACCAGCAAAAGAGATAAAGAACCAAGATGGTTTTATTAAATCAAAAGGTACACATTTAATAAAGGTACACATTAATAAGACGGCAGACAGCAAAGCCTGGCGAGGGCGGAGGCTGTGCATGTGCCATGGGAACTTGGGCTCACGTTGAGAACCATGTCCTGTGTGAGTCGGCTTCTCAGTGGACAAGTTCTCCCTTCACAAAGTTCTGGGCGTACAAAGGGACACGCGACATTAAATAAGAATGAGGACGTGCACCTCAGCATCCCACAGCTGTGTGGTTCGTGTGAGATCTATTTTCCCTTTCTCACGCTGGATCAGGTGTCAGGCTATGAAGGAGTAGAGCTCATAAATATGCAAATCACCTGAGGTCGATACTCCAGATATATCTGTGTCCTGAGAGCACCACCCAGTAACCACACTCCTCCTCCGGAGAAGCCCCTGAGAGCACAGCTCCTCACCATGGACTGGACCTGGAGGATCCTATTTTTGGTGGTCATGGCTACAGGTAGGATCATTCTCAGTCCCCAGGACTGAGGAGGTGACTGGGTCCAGTCAAAGGGGGTCTTATCCACTCCTGTGTCCTCCCCACAGGTGCCCACTCCCAGGTGCAGCTGGTGCAGTCGGGGGCTGAGGTGAAGCAGCCTGGGGCCTCAGTGAAGGTCTCCTGCAAGGCTTCTGGATACACCTTCACAAGCTACTGTATGCACTGGGTGCGCCAGGCCCATGCACAAGGGCTTGAATGGATGGGATACGTGTGCCCTGGTGATGGCAGCACAAACTACGCACAGAAGTTCCAGGGCAGAGTCACCATGACCAGGGACACGTCCACAAGCACAGCCTACATGGAGCTGAGAAGCCTGAGACCTGAGGACACGGCCGTGTATTACTGTGCACGACACACAGTGTGAAAACCACATCCTGAGAGTGTCAGAAACCCCGGGGAGGAGGCAGCGGTGCTGGGGCTGAGGAGATGACAGGGATTATGAGGTTTAAAGTTGTTTAGAAGATGGGTTGTAACTGAGGACAAGGAGCACCAGAAACAATGACACACTGTAATGTTATGAGAAATATTTTACTGAAGAGTCGCCCTTTACGCAAATTCACAGAGTAGGAAAGACCCTTTATCAGTCTGTTCTCATGCTGGTAATAAACACATAGCTGGGACTGCGTGATTTATAAAGAAAAGTGGTTTCACGGATTCAGTTCCACATGGCTGGGGTCTCACAATCATGGAAGAAGATGAAGGAAGAGTAAAGGGCATCTTACATGGCAGCGGGCAAGAGAGAGCTTGTGCCAGGGGGACTCCCCTTTAAAAAACCATCATCAGATTTGCTGAGACATACTCACTACCATGAGAACATTATGGGGGAAACCACCCCCATGATT